GGGTTCACGCCATTCTCCTGCCTCAGCCTCCCGAGTAGCAGGGACTACAGGCGTCTGCCACCATGCCCGGCTAATTTTTTTGTGTTTTTAGTAGAGACGGGGTTTCACTGTGTTAGCCAGGATGGTCTTGATCTCCTGACCTCGTGATCCACCCGCCTCGGCCTCCCAAAGTTCTGGGATTACAGGCATAAGCCACCACGCCCGGCTATGCCAGGGTAATTCTAAGGACAGTGCCCTGCTGACCGTCTGTGTGTCTGTCTGTTCTTTTATTCATCCAACGACTTCCCCCACCTCCAACACTGTGTAGCCGGAAGGAATCAGAATGAACAAAACTGTGGCTGTTCGCACGCTGGATCCAGAACGCCTAGGCCAGGGTGAGTCAGCTGCAGGGGTAGGGGCTGAGGGACTGGCAGGGTGAGGAGGGGAAGCGACCTGGGTTTAGTGAGGTAAGATAGGGCGGGAGGGAGGTAGAGCCATCGGTGTCTTTCACTCACCCTGCAGATGGAGTGCAGAGAGAGGACGTCCCACCTGCAGACCTCAGTGACCAAGTCCCGGACACCGAGTCTGAGACCAGAATTCTCCTGCAAGGTGAGCTGCCCTTGACCCTGACCCCATGGGTCTCAGTAGGACATGGAGGGAGTCAAATTCTGTCTCATTCTGGAATTGTTTAACCCACACTTTTCTCTTCCCCTTCAGCTAGAACAGCCCATCTGTGATCTGTTTTCCCTTTTTTTTTTTTTTTTTTTTTTTTTTGAGAACAGAGTCTGGCTCTGTCGCCCAGGCTGGAGTGCAGTGGCCGGATCTCAGCTCACTGCAAGCTCCGCCTCCCGGGTTTTCGCCATTCTCCTGCCTCAGCCTCCTGAGTAGCTGGGACTACAGGCGCCCACCACAACGCCCGGCTAATTTTTTTTTTTTTTTAATTTTTAGTAGAGATGGGGTTTCACCGTGTTAGCCAAGATGGTCTCGATCTTCTGACCTCGTGATCCACCCCCGCCTCGGCCTCCCAAAGTGCTGGGATTACAGGCGTGAGCCATCGCCCCCGACCATGTTTTCCCTCTTTTAAACATTTTTTAAAGCATACAGATATTATTTGCTATGATCAGTTTTATAGAAGCCTCCAGATAGCATTTAGTTCAGCAAAGAACTTTCACTGATACATGATTTTATTTATTTTAATTTTTTGTAGAACTTCTGTGCTTCTCAGATGGGATATCAGCTGAAATGAGAAGCAATAGCCTGTAATCCCAGCACTTTGGGAGGTGGAGGCAGGCAGACCCCCTGAGGTCAGGAGTTTGAGAGCAGCCTGGCCAACATGGTGAAACCCTGTCTCTACTAAAAGTACAAAAACTAGCTGGGCATGGTGGCACATGCCTATAATCCCAGCTACTCGGGAGGCTGAAGCAGGATAATAGCTTGAACCTGGGAGGCGGAGGTTGCAGTGAGCCCAGATCGTGCCACTGCAGGTACTCCAGCCTGGGCGGCAGAGGAAGACTCCGTTTAAAAAAAAACAAAAAAACAAAAAAAAAAACAAGGAACATAGTACAAGAGCAGAAATTCTGGAGCTCATTTCTTGCCCCAGGAGGGAAGACTGGAGAAAGAAAGGGCCTTGCAACCTGTAAGCTATAAGGTTTTGGGGAAAGAGCCTTGTTTTTTTCACCTTTGATAGGGGACGAATAATAGTATCTACCTCCAAGGGCTGGCGTTACAATTTTTTTTTTTTTTTT